CCTGCAGCACGTAGTGGAGTGCCCCAAGGCTCATGCAACCCTGAGAAAATTCAGAGATGCAGGGTTCTAAAACATTTTAATGGCCTGGGCCATCGGTTTCACAAGGATTTCCGTGGATTCCCGGGCATTTCCGGAGATTCCCAAAGATTTCTGGGGATTTCTGGGGATTCCCCGGAACTCCCTGGGCGTGTCGCGCGCGTCCTTCGCAGCGCAGCCCGCCAAACATGGGCCCAAAAAGCTGGAGCACCCCAAGAGGGCCCCAAGTCGGCCCAGAGAGGCCCCCAAACGGCTTCCGACGGCGTCAGACGGGCCAGGAGCCCACCAAGATGGCCGAAGTTGGCTCGAAGCTGGCCCAGAACGGCCCAAGAGGCTTCCAAGAGGGCCTCCAGGAAGGCCAGAGAAGGCAAAACTACATAGATTTTCCATAGGTTTTTGAAGGATTTTACATTTGCTTCTTTTCGGCCATCCGACAGCCCAATACGGCCCAAGAGCCCCCAAAGATCGCCCAAAGATCGCCCAAGAGGCCAAGACGGCCCTGGAGCATTCCAAGAGGGCCCCAAATCGGCCCAGAGGGGCCCACCAAACGGCTTCCGACGGCGTCGGACGGGCCAGGAGCCCACCAAAACGACCGAAGATGGCCCTAAGATGGCCCAAGACGGCCCAAGAGGCTTCCAAGAGGGCCTCCAGGAAAGGCCAGAAAAGGCACAACATATTTATTTTCCATAGGTTTTTGAAGGATTGTGGCATTTGCTTTTTTTCTGCCTTCCGACGGCCCGAGACGGCCCAAGAGCACCCAAAGATCGCCCAAGAGGCCCACGACGGCCCCCAAAGGCCCTCAAGAAGGCCCAAGAGGCCTCCAAGACGCTCAAGATGGCCTCCAAGACGGCCCAAGAGCCCTCCAAGACGTCCTCCAAGAAGGCGCGAAAGGGTCAAAATGGCCTCCAGGCGGCCAGGATGACTTTCAAGATGCCCACATGTTCCCCGAAGGCTTTCCAAACCGATTCGGGGAACACATGGTCCGATAGCTTGGCAGGTCTGGCCTCAACATTCGGCCACATAGGCGCTTCCAAAAAGGCAGGGGGCGGCGGTGATTCGCCGTAGGCGTCTTAGACTCGCCGCCCCCTATTGGCTTGCCACAGGGGTGCCTGGCGTGCCAGTTTTCAAAAGGTTTTTGGCTCTATTTGGAACTCTCCCTGGGGCTTCGGCCCAGCGCGCCGGCCACCCGGGAGGCTCTTCCAGAGGTGGTTGCCAACGTTTTTCCCGCTCCCGATGGCTCCAAGATGGCCTCCAAGACGGCCAAGACGGCCCTGGCGTGAGAGGCCTTCCAGAAGGCCCGAAGAGGCCAACATCACTGATTCTCTTCCAATGTTTGAAAGATTTTGGCATTTGCTTCTTTTCGGCCTTCCGACGGCCCGAGATGGCCCAAGAGTCCCCCAAGATCGCCCCAAGATTGCCCGAAGAGCATCCAAGATGGCCCCAGAACGGCCCAAGAGGCCCTCAAGACGGCCCTAAGAGGGCCCAAGAGGTCTCCAAGATGCCCAAGATGGCCTCCAAGACGGCCCTGGAGCAAAAATGTCCCAAGTCGGCACAGAGAGGCCCCCACGACGGCTTCCGACGGCGTCAGACGGGCTAGGAACGCCCTAAGATGGGCAAAGAGGCCCCCGAGAAGCCCCCGAGGGCTCCCAAGAGGCCCAAGGAGGCCACCAAGATGCCTCCAAGAGGCTCCCAGAAGCCCCCAGGAGTCCCCAAGAGTGCCCCCAGAGGCTCTCAAGATGCCCCATGCTCCTCCTCCTCCTCCTCCTCCTCCTCCTCCTCCTCCTCGTCCTGATCTTCCCCGCCATCCTCCCCCAAGTGTTCCCCGAAGGGTTTCCACAACGGCTGGGGGAACACATTGTCCGATAGCTTGGCGGAGCTCTTGCCACAACGCTCGGCCACATGGGCGATTCCAAAAAGCAGGGGGCGGCGGTGATTCGCAGTAGGCGTCTTCGATCCGCCGCCCCCTGTTGATTTATTACAAGGGTGCCTGGCGTGCTGAACTTCTTGCGGCTTGATTTTGGATCCTTTCCAAAAAACTCCCCCTGGGGCTTCGGTTCATGCCGCTGGCTGCCTGCCTCGTCGGCTTTTTCGCTCAAGATGGCCCCAATATGACATCGTTGACGGCCATGATGGCCTCGACGACGGCCTAAGAGGGTCCCAGATGCCTCCAAGTCCGCCCAAGAAGCCACACAGACGGCCCAAGACGGCTCCAAGAGGCCCCCAAGAAGGCTCCAAAACGGCCCAAGAGGCCTCCAAGAGGTCCTCCAGGAGGGCTGGAAGAGGCCAATATCATGGATTCCCGTAAGTTTCTGACGGATTTTCGGATTTGCCTCTTTCCGGCCTTCCGCGACGGCCCAAGACGACCCACGATCCCTCCAAGATCGCCCCAAGATTGCCCGAAAAGCATCCAAGATGACCCCGCGATGCCCCAAGAAGGCTCCAAGACGGCCCCAGGAGGGCCTCAAGACGGCCCAAGAGGCCTCCAAGACGCCCAGGATGGCCTCCAAGACGGCCCTGAAGCGCCCCAGGAGGGCCCCAAGTCTGTTCAGAGAGGCATCCAAGACGGCTTCTGACAGCGTCAGACGGGCCAGGAACGCGTAAGATGACCCAAGAGGCCCCCAAGAGGCCCCTAAGCGCCCCCAAAAGGCTCAAGGAGGCTTCCAAAAGGCCTCCCCCTCGAAAAGGCCCGCAGGAAGCTACCAGGAGGCCCCAACTGTCCTCCCCGTCCTCCTCCTCCTCCGCCTCCTCCTCTTCTTCCTCCTCAACCTCCTCCTTCTCCTTCTCCGCTTCCTCTTCCTCCTCCTCCTTCTCCTCCTCCTCCTCCTCTTCCTCATCATCCTCTCTATTTTTGTCTTTCTCCTCCGGGTCTTCGTTCTCCCCCGCGTGTTCCCAGAAGGGTTTCCACAACGGCTGGGGGAACACATGGTCCGATAGCATGACAGAGCTCTGGCCACCACGTTCGGCCACATTCGCGATTCCAGAAGGGCGGTGATTCGCCGTAGGCATTTTCGATACAATGGGAACACCTCGTTGATGGATCTCGATGGGCCGCGATGGCTCCTAATACTACCGTAAGTGCTGCAATGTTCTGCCAACCACAAACGTGTGGGCCTGACCAAATCCTCTACAGCCGAGGTGAGGGTTCGCAGCTAGTTCTTTCAATTGACCATGGCAGCGGCACTGTGACAAACAACCTCGTCTCCTCATTGGATACTTCTTTCCCCCACTTTCGCGGCGCATTCGCTCGTCCTCATGAGCTGAGACTGGCCGTCTATTTTTCCTTCACGTCCGCACCCATTATGGCATTATGCGTGCAAGTGAACATGCGTATCGTGTGACGAGTTGAATTGGACAATATCTTCCTATGCCTACGCAAATGGCTTTGGCAGATGTGCCTTGAACATATACGACTCTTCCCATGTCGGAAACATGCTCTATATAAGCGCAGCGTGAAGAACGTGAACGACACTTTTTTCACAGAGCATGTCAACTTTGGTGCCACATGCTCAGAATTTCGTTTTCTTTTTGGCTGCCGGAAACATCCGGAAACATGTTTTATTCCAGCACAGCTGGAGGTGCATGATCGGCCTACAGCCGAAAACATGATCAAGACATTTATTATTTATCTGGGGCCAGCTGTCCGAAAGTTTCCTAAACCAATCATGATAACATTTCTGTTGTTAACGCTGGAGGGGGCAAACCTGCAAGAAGCTGGGCCAGCTTTCTGGCAAGTTGATCAAGAAACGCTAGCCCAGCTTTTCGGCAGGAGGTTTCTTTATCAGATGCTTGACTGTATTTTTCCACAGGACCACCACAGCATCATAACTCGAGCGCGTGCATTTCGGCAGGTGCAGGCTTGTGAGCCTTCCGTGCCCCTCACCCAAGAAGTGGCTTTCCGACGCCACGCTCCACCATTCCGGCTTCTCCCTCCCCTCGATGCTAGCTCTAGGTCGGGCCCGTCCCCCTACAGGCGGATTTTGGAGGAAGAATTGAAAATAGTCCAAAAATATCAAAAAATGGTCAAGAAATGCAGAAAAACAATCACCAGACAATTTTTTGTCTATTTTTGAAAATTATTCCTCCACATGCCCGACTTCATGATAGCTCTCATCTTCTCCACGGATCCCTTCTTCAGGGACCTGGGCATTCACCAGCTTGACCAGCTGTCTACGACCTACAAATGTTTAGCAACCTTTCACCTGTTCTTGAGCTGTCTCTCACTGGGCGGCAACGGAAACAGTATGTCCCAGATGGTAGCAGTGAGCAAGGAGACTAGGCTTCTTCCTCTCCTCGGTCTGCGCTCCTGTTGGATCAGCGGCCCTGGATGCTGCGAGATTCTGGGGTCATAGGTCTTAGGCGCGGGCTCAACTAATCCCTGTTCCAGATGCTGCGCTTTATCGGCTCCCGATAGCATGGCGCGCTCTTGCAACGGCACGACTGGAATCAAACCCTCCATCCCTTCTATGATGCCGAATCTTGCCCCCGAGCGGCCGATATGAGGTGGGCCTCGCTTGATCAAGTGCTCCTTGCAACCATGAAAGAGGGGAGAGGGAAGATGGAGGGAGAAAGACCTTGCAGGAAAGGAGAGAGGGAGGGAAGAGGGATAATCAGGGTGGAGGAGTGGGAGGAATGAGTTAGGAGGATGAGGGAGGATGATGAGGAGGCCGCGAACCAACTCTTCAAACAAGCAGTGCTGTCGCCAGACGAGCACTCTTGGACTGGACTGCGTCGGGGAAATTGGGCCGAACAGCAGTGCGCAATCTCTCACGATCTGCAGCCTCTCGGTGGCCCTGGGGCACAACTGCGCCCGACAGGGACCATTTACGGATCAAAACCTCTATGGCAATCCGACGCGAGATGTAGGATCCAGATTCCAAGGGGCTGAAGGCAGAGGAGACGCTCAAGGAGGGGACTGCGGAGGTTGGAAGCACCCGTTCTGTGCCGGTAAATGCCCGCGATCGGTCCTGAGCCGTCCGGTAGCAGCCCCCGAGGGGCAGAGGAGCACGAGCCTGATCCTGCGGCTGCGTGGGCGCCGAGCCAGCGGCCACTGCTGGCAGCCCGCTGCGCTGGGTGCAGCTTTTGTGACGACGGTCGGGCTACGGTGAAGTTTTAGTTGAGGATGCTTTCTGTAAGGGACCCAGGGTGTCGCGACCGATGAGCGGCCAAACGCGGGCCACCGACCTGGCCTTGAAACGATAAGGAATGCTCACTGCATCGACCTTGCATACGTGCAGCAGCGGATTTGTTTCGTGGATTTCTGTCAATGCAAGACCCCGAAATGGCGAGCGAAAAAACGACGTGAATTTCGCGTGGATCCATTTTAATCTTCATTCCTGGCAGCAAACAATCAGCACGAAGTTCACCTCGAAATCTGGAGCAACACTCTCCAGGACACTCCGGGCCCATCCTATCGTTTTCCGAATGAAATCCGCTGTGCGATGTTGGCGCCATGGGAACGCGCCAGGGTCTGAGCCCCAACAAGACGGTCCTTATCCAGTGCCGCCGCCGTATCCAGTGGCTCTTCCCAGACCTTCCATATCCAAGTCCGCAAGTCGATCGGTCGGGGGTAGATTGAACGTCCGGGTCTGGCGTCGACCACCCCGAAAGCGTGTCGATAGATCGACCGACATGATCAGATGATGAAACAGGCGTCGGAAACAATTACGCAACACTCACGCGTAACGTCTGGTGTGAACTCGCCCCCCCTCCCCTCGAGTGCAATGTCGGGCTGGGATCTCCGGAGTGTGAGCGTCGGGCCAGCGATGCGCATACGTGCCAAGTTTAGCGGGGGGAGGGAGAAGCGTCGCTTAATTATTCCCTGAACCAGATGACGACAGGTATCTGAAAGCTCCGTTTCCTCCACCTCAACCCTCATGCATCCCTTTTCCTTTCGAGCGCGAGAGATACCCGTACCCTTGCCCAGGCGGGGTGGCAGGGGCCGGGGGGAACGACGCGCCGCAGCCGACGGCGGTTGCACAAGTGCAGATGCGACGGCCAATGGAACATTACAGAATGCTGTCTTCTCCGGGCATCCGCTGGTGCCGAAGGCGCGTGCGTTCCAACCGGCAGAATGGCCGACCGCGCATTGGTCGCTCTCGGGCTAGAGTAGCTCGTTCGGAGGTGCGCCCACGAAGGCGCACAATCAAGCGTTTGGGGCTCGACGCGCAAAATGCGTCCTGGGTGTCGTGGGCGGGCGCCGCTGCAATTCCACGCTCGCCCCAAACGCCCGGGGCCCCGAACGCCAGGCGCGGTCGCCAGGGGCTGCTCCCTGGAAAACCCGCCTGGCGTCACCCCAGCTAGGTCCGCGTACGTGTCGGGGGGTGCCGTCGCCGACGCGCGTTGATGGTGCCTCCGGAGACATACCCGTATCTAAGTCGAGGTGGCGTTTGGCCGACATCGCTCTCGGGCGCACGCGCGGCCCCCGAGAGCTCTCCCGAACGCGGCCGCAGCGGCCCCTGGGGGAGCGTGAGATTGCAACGGCGCTCCTGCGGGCAGGCCCGTGGTCTTTCTTTTGGTCTCTCGTTCCCCAAATGGGAAACAGGCACCACACTCCAATGCTGTTCGAAAGCTCCGCGGACACCCCCAATGCCCCCAGACGTCCCTGACGCAAACCAGGGCATGACGCTGAAATCGAACAGCCAGCCATTCAGCGTGTCGTTGCGTCCTGACGCGCGGATGCTGAACTAGAGCGCGCGCAGCAGGCTGCTTGGGCGCAGTGGCAAGCACCCAAGCGAGCCGACGGCCCTTTTCACCCAGGCCGACCCCGGCAACGGTATGCTTAGGACCAATGAAAATAACTCGCACCCTCGCACCCCGAGACTCGGGGCTTCGTAAACAGGGTTCTTTTCTTCACGGGGGTTTAGGTTTTTCCATCTGCCCCCGTTTACTGTGCCCCCGTCTACGGCGCTCAGGGCCCCCTTAAACTGGGGCATAGCCAAACGCGGAAATCGGCGTTCCCGTGCCCCCGTTTGCTGTACCCCCGTCTCTGGCGCCCTGAGAGGCGTGTGGGTAGGCCGGGCTGGGCGTTTCGTCGGAGACTTCCGCACCATTTATGACCCTGGAGCTCAGAATTTGCAACAGCTTCACGGATGGAGGGCGGATTGTTTTCAAAATCAGGCTCTCGTCTCAGCGATCCGCACATTCGTGCTAAAAGTTTGCCTTTTTCGAAATGTGGTTCTCGCCTGAGCGCCGCGCACATTCGCCTTGAACGTTTTCGAGAGCTTGACGGAATGGCGGGCGGCTCATTTTCAAATATGGCTCTCGCCTCAGCACCGCGCGCATTCGGTTTAAAGTTTTGCAGCCGTTTCACGGATGGAGGGCGATTCTTTTTCAACATGTGGTTGTCGCCCGTGCGCGCGGGCACATTCGTCTTAACACTTTGCACGAACTGCACGGGTGGATGGTGGGTTGTTTTCAAAATGTGGCTCTCGCATCAATGCCGCGCGCATTCGTACACGTTTCACG